AATTTACATTTGTTAACCTACGAGCAAAACCAGGTTGAGTCAGTAGTAAAGTAATAAAGGTATACAACCACTGGCACTTACTACTTAATACATTCGAGAAACACTGATAAGTCAGGTTGGCCGAGTGGTCTAAGGCGCCAGATTTAAGCTCTGGTTCCCGAGAGGGAGCGTGGGTTCGAACCCCACACCTGACAAATGTGTTATTCTTTTTTATTTTATTTTAAGCATTTATACATACATTTACATAAATCTTCTATCCTACAGCAAAATTGATTTTATCTGAGAATTTTTTTAATTTATATTTGTTTTATTTTACACAACAATAAATAAAAAAATAAACAACATAGCAATTCGACTTAAATTAAATATGCATTAAGCGAATCAGCGAGTCGTGATAATTTAAAATCACCACACATAACGAAATTACGTTATAATGATACACACCGGGATTTCTGCGTTCGTTTTGTTTGGAAATTAAATTGGAATTTCATAATTATTTAGCTAGAAACATCTGTTTTAAATTAAATTGCCATTATCATGAAATTAATAATACATAATCTCAATTTCTATATAAAAAACTTAAAATGCAAAGTTATTTATTAATGTATTCATTGCAATAGTTTTACTAAACTTCAGTACAACGTTAAACGTCGCATCTCAATGATAGGTCGTGTACGGAATACCGAATGGGACAGTCTAGACTTGTTGATGATAACATGTTTAAGGAATGAATAGTATCTGTGTACATTTTGCTCACTCAGGCTTTCTTAGTTTTATAAGCGTCCATTTCCTAAATCGTCGGTTACGCCCCGAGAGTATAGCCAGACGCAGGCACTCTCTTCAACTGTTACATTGCATTCATTCGTTACATAGCAATTAACATTTCATTATTTAGCTTATATTCTATTGTTGTACGCGAGTGGTTAATAAAGAGTAAAAATAAAATCCTCTATTATTTAAAGCACCTCGATGACGATGATGATGTAAAATAATTATAAGTTAATAATACATAACTTCAATCCGGTAAAAAAGTGTTTTCTTTAAATGTGTAACAGTTATGTTAATAAAAGACAAAATAATACCCTCCGATCAGAAGAGCTCAAAATAGAACCTTTCAAATTTCATAGCTTTTTATGTTATTGGAATACATCAGTCTTCGATAGCTTAATCGATAAAAAATATGTTGTGATTGAGTTTGATTCATGGGTTTTCAGGCAGGAGGGATAGAGATGTATACCCTTTTTTTTTTTTTTTTTTTGATATCCGAGGTGGAAATGCATTTGCGCATCCCCTGAACAGGGGTATGTGGGACTCGACCCACGCCAAAATCTCTGCTATTCAGAGACTGGGTGACATAGGAGGTAGGAGATGGGCATATCTTCTCCTATTTTCTCCCCGTCTTCTACCCCTAGGATTCGTCCTAAAGCGCTCCCTCTCTCGTTCTGCTGTCTCCTTCTGTAGCATGACATGCTCACAGAAGCATACCACTGCATTCCATACCTCGTCACTGCCGACCATTTTTTGTACAACACAAGGCAAAGCAAGGTTATTACCCACCACAGAAATAAGATTGTGACGTAGCTGAGACCACTGCGGACAATCCTCCAACGTAATCCGGCTTTTCCCCTACATAGTACATATATATATTATATATAATATGTCGCAGATTCAACGCGATTAATAATTACAAAATTGGTATCACTACCGTCGTCCGACATTATTACTTAATATTTAAACACAGTCAGTGCGCACATCCGGCGCAGGCGCCGATCGGAAAGCAACTCTAGCACTTCACGACCGATTCTACGCACTACTGACAGCTTGACTTCGACAATTGACACATTGATACTTTACAACCTGTAAGATGTCCATGATATTGCATGGTGTTGCCATTGTAATCAAACAAATTACACCGTGTTCTATTATAACCTAATCTCTGGCATATATACTCAAACACAAAATAACTTTATTCATATAGGAAACCAAGTACACATATGAACGTCAACAAAAAATATGGTAAATTGATTCTAAATTTACATTTACTACCAGTTCGCAAGGGCGTAGAGCGGGCAAGTAGAACTGGCAAGAAACTCTCCACCACCATTTTTAATCGCCAATTTATGAGTCATATTAAAAATTGGCGATTTAAAAGAGTGGTGGAGTCCAGTCAAATCGTTTGAACTGGAGAAAATGAACCCCAAGGATTAGGACCTAGAAATAATCGTCAAATTTATAAAAACTTTACGTTTAACAAGAGTTTTGAAATTATTAAGTGATAATTCTCTAATTTGGGAGTTTACTGTAAACACGAATACAATTTCCATATAAGGAGCGGTTTATCTTCTGGAGCCTGGTTGGTCGTAGACTAGTACTGTTTCAAGTATCATACTGGTGAAAGTCACCATTTAGGTATAAATATGTAATACCAGACAATGGGTGAAAAAGGATTAGAAAAAGTTATCACGCAAAGTGTTAAGTTATTAGGAAGGGTTAACTTTAATAGCATTATGATAATCCATTATCAAATTGCAGAAAGCCGTAGGAGCGCTTTGCGTGACGCTAAATGTAATTTAGACCCTCTACAAATAACCACTGTATATAAAAAATACTTTAAAATACGCACAAATAGATTAAATATATTATCACTAGTGACTTTGCGCAGTCTCAGGGGCCATTTTTCCAAAAAAAAAATATAATTAAACTAATTAAGACATTTAATTATATATTATTATTTAATATTGTTTGTTACCATTTAATTTTGTTTGAATAAGACAAACGAGTCAAATAACATTATATATTAATATATGATGAAATATATTATATAAGATTATATAAAAAATAATATTTAACTGCACTTAACAATGTGTTATGTCCACCACACGGCAGTTACACAAAACAATAGGCAATAAAGGAATACACATATACTAAACAACTAAAATAAAATACTTAACAAATTATTTTGAAATGCAAGTACGTAATACCCAATTATACGAAACTTTTTTCAAATTTTCAATTTTTTTTGTTACGTTAAAAATTGTTTCACGATAAAATTTAATTCACACGATAAAGTTTAATTAAATTAAATTTTCAAATAATTGTTTTTAGTCATTTCAATCGCTCACACGCACCCACCCACTCACTCAGGCGTGTTAAAAAAAAACAAAATAATTAAAAAGAAAAGATGGAATTAAATAATATATATATTATTGAATTTACTATTAAGTCTGTTATGGAAGAGCTGGAACAGGTATTTTTTTACTTACACGTTTCTACATCATAAATAAAAAAATTAAAATCTTACACTTTAAATTGTTGTCAAATGAATAAAAACTTTTTTTTTTTCAATTTAATTCTTTAATTATCATGCTTTTCTATGATGAAGCCCTTATTGGAGTATGAGGGCCTCCTCTAGGCGTTTCTCTCTCTTTATTTTCTGTTTGAATCAATCATTTCCTCCTATTAATTTAATATCATTTAACCAACCATCTTCCCTGTTTTCTTTTACCCATAAACTTACTTACTCCAGTGCTAAACATAATTTTAATTTATTTATTTCATATTGCAACTCTCGCTATTGTATTGCAGTACAGAAATAGAAATGAGTACAGCCACTTATAAATATTAACATGAATAGAATCTCAAAGACAATGCATTTGCGTTTCAAATATTAATTACATCATCCTTGGCTATTAACGACAACTTATTACTTATTCATTGCTTTGAGCTGACGGGTATTTTAATATAATAAGCTATACCTTCCATTATCTGCCATTTGGTTACCTTTATTCATAAATTAAATTAATATCTTGGTGTGGCTTCAGCGTGCGACTCCCTGAAATCGTAGGTTCGATCCCCGGCTGTGCACTAATGGACTCTCTGTGTCATTTAACAATCGCTCGAACGGTGAAGGAAAACATCGTGAGGAAACCGGCTTGACTTAGACACAAAAATTTCGTCACCTACTTGCCTATAAGATTGACAAATAATTCAGAAATCTGAGCGCTACTGATGTATTTACTATTTAATCAAAATAATAATGCACTGTACTACACGTTCAGGTAACTGCGTAGTTGTTAACATAAGAATGTCTTGTTGGAAGCCTAAGAACTCACGTAAACCTCATTCACACACACAATACAGATTAAATAGCTTCCTACTTGCCTTTACAAAGTCATTTGTTTGTATGTAAGACCTACCTACAGAATTAAAATCAATCCTCGTTATAAATACTAACATATTATTATAAATATTTATAAAAAAAACATGAGACAGGTTGGATTGTAGTACGTAATTAAGAAATGTAATACATATTATTATTTTCCACTATGTATTTGCGTGTTGTTCCCACGACAATGTAAGTGCGTGCTCCTATTTCACCATGCCTCCTGCTGATAGAGGACAAATATTTGTTTTTAATTTATTTTATTATTATTTATTACTTAAAATGTCATGTGGAACATGGTGCAATGGTTGCAGCTTCTTACAAACGTCGTGTAAAACAAAAAACTTGGCGATTAAAAAGAGGGACGGAGAGTTTGCCAGTTCTTCTCTCCGTTCTATGCCCTCATTGTAAGTACTGGCAGTAAATGAAAAATTAGAAGCATTTAATGTATATTTCCGTTTTGACGTTCATAAGTGTACATTGTGTTACCTATATGAATAAATGATTTTTGTCTTTGACTTTTTTCATTTACACCTGTGTGTTTTTAATACAAAACTGTACTAGAATTCCACCTGGAGTTTAGCTAGATGCGCCCCATCGTAGGCGGATCATTTTTATGTCTAGAAGATGCCCATTTAGCTGATACTGTATGATGGATGATACATACCTTCGCTCGCCCTGCGTAATCTATTTTTTTGTTTAAGATTTCGGTTACAAGGACACTTTTAACTGCACATATAGAAACCAAAAACCTATTGGTACACAGCCGACGTCTTAAAACAAGCCATATTAAGGTTATGTAGAAGTATCTAATCCCAATTTTTTGTGTAAAACTGACCTTGTGATACGTGTCCTTTTGCCAGTTCTTGATCTGTGCCATGACGTCGTTGACGAGCCGGTCCCTCACGCTGAGGTGGAGGTCTGACAGCCGTTCGGCTTCCACCATACCACCCTTCCACGCCGCCTCCATCGTGCCATACTCCGGTCCTTTATAAAAATTAAATAGATATATAGGAACCGCTGATTTTTATAGATATGTATGTTACAATAGCAAAATACGAATTGGGACATTTTCGAGTCTAATAGTTACATTTTTATTCATTATTTTTTATGTAACAGTAGGCAAATGGAAATACTTCAGAGGGCAGCAGGTTCCACATAGTAGTGGTGCGCGGCAAAAACTGCCTCAAGAAACAAACAAAGATAAATAGAAAGATATTTTATTTTTTTATCGTAATGGTGGTAGACTAGTGGAGGGTAAAATTTGAAATCCATTTTTGGGTTCAAATTAAAAAATTACGACACCTGTATATCAACATTTATTATTAATTTATTTACATTGCTAAATTATGCTTTATGAACACCGTACAACCATTACAAAGAAATAAATTTATTTAATATAAATGTTAAACTAAAATAATGAATTTTGTATCTGTTTAGCTCATTTCCACTAAATACACTGCCAATGCTAGTACACTTCCGCGACCTCGACCTCACTTTGACCTTAAAGGTCTTCAGAGCTCTCATTGGATTCCGGGCGAACCTAGATTTAATCTCCGCTAATAACATAGTAATGACATTGTATATGCAATGCCAATGTTCACCTTAATACAAAGATATATAATGAGATATAAAATAGCAACTGAAATATTGCTTCCTAAATACGTCGAATAGAAAATTAAAAAGGTTTTAGTTTTATATGACTTATCCTAAATCACAGTTTCTTTTTTTTTGTTTCCTTAATTGTTGACAATTTACTTTTAACTTGTTTATAAATTAAAGAAACTACTGCCTCGTCAATTTTCAAATATCCTTGAGTCATACTTAACACAAAGAATGTTTAGAGTACGACAAGAAGATGATTATTCAGAACTTAAAAGAAATAAAAGCTGGGGTGCCGCAAGGGAGTGTAATAGGTCCGGTCCTGTACCTCTTATACACATGCGATATTCCGGAACTAGAAGATAACGTAATCGCTACCTTTGCCGATGATACTGCAATCATGTCTACGCCAGATACTGAAAAGGAAGCGGTAGTAAAACTACAAAAAGCCATAAATACTGTTGGCTTGTGGACCAAAAAATGGCGGATACGATTAAATCAGTCTAAATCAGTTCACATAAACTTTACCAACAAAACATCAAATTACCAGCCGGTATATATTGATAACGTCAAAGTGCCGTTCCAAAATTCAGCTAAGTACCTAGGTATGACGCTGGATACCAAACTCCGATGGAAGGTCCATGTCAAAAAGAAGCGTGAAGAGTTGGATCTCCGTTACACTAAATTGTAATGGTTGCTCGGAAGGCATTCCGCGTTATCAGTTCAAAATAAATTATTGATTTACAAACAAGTCCTGACATCTGTATGGACTTATCGTTGCCAGCTTTGGGGCTGTACCAGTAATAGTACCATTCAAGTAATCCAACGATTCCAAAACAAAGTGCTCAGGGGAATAGTCAATGCTCCCTGGTATATTCGCAATAACAACCTCCATCGGGACCTTAATATAGGGACGTCGCCACAATAATAAAAAAGACTGCTGGAGCCCACGAAAATAGGCTCCACCATCACGTGAATGTCGAGGCTATTCAACTCCTTGATACTACGGGCCTAGTGAGAAGACTTAAAAGGACAAAACCATTTGAACTAGTGAATTAGTGTTAGTGCACGTCAGTACTAAATACACAGTGAGTGAAAGAAAAAATAGAACACAAGAACAGAGTGTCTTCCCTTTAATAGAGACTGTAAGTAGTGTTATTGGACATTTTCTTATGTAAAAATCCTTATTAGTTAATTAGGTTAGACTTAAATTACTTATTAGTCTTAAGTTAGGCTAGATTATAATGTTCCATGATGTCTTAGTAAAGACACATGTATATAAAAAAAATTTGTTGACAATAATAAAATAACGAATTACACAAAACTGTTCACGCCTACTTCCCGAAAAGATAGGCAAATACCACGGATCTCCATTTGTTACGGTCCCTACATACCTCTTTCGATTCATCTATTCACCATGCATGCTGGTCGGTTATAAGTACTTTTAACTTCCCCCTTCTCTAGTTACTCCTGGATTTGGTCCAGGTTTGTTCAAGGCTTACCCAACCCGACACCATACATCATACCTTTTATATCCTACTTGTTAATTGCTTCTCATTCTTCCATTCTACATGGCCAAACCATCTAAGCATTCCCTTTCGTATCCTCACCATTAAGTCCTCTTTTAACCCACACGCGTATCTCACTATTACTTATCCTATCACGCAATGTTACACCACACATACTTCTCAACGCTCTCATTTCCACGGCATTTATTCTACTTTCATTCTTTCTCTGCCACACCCAACATTCACTGCCGTATGTAAACACATAAGCACCCCCCTATGTACGGCTAGTCCAGCCTCATTTGAGATTCCATGGCTTATAAAGGAATGGAACGCTCCATTTATTATATTCCCAGCTCTCGTCATCCATGTCGTCACAAGATATACAATTCTGGTAATAAGGTACGCAGTATTGTTTTGTAATTGTTTATTAGAGTTTAGTCAAGGTAATCGCAAGATTAACCTCTGGGTGACCCACAAACATCGCTACGTGTATTATCGTTAATCCCATACATTTCAGTATTGTAGATATGTACGTGAAATTTATTTCTTTAGTAAACCATTTATCACCGAATTTTCGAGATACAATGTATCCTTGACAATAGCTCTTAACGAGAATTAAGTTTGATTTAATTAACCAATTTTATTTAAGACAGAAAATATAAATGAATGTTCATATAACATGAATGAAATCGGGCACAAATGGAATTATGTAACCTAGCAAATGCCTCATATGCGATGGCAGAGTAGGTAAAACCTTGTTTTCGTGTGTAGATTTACGCACGTAGTGCAAAATGAACGAGGTGAATTGAAAATTCGGTTTTTTATAGAAGAGGGGGCAAACGGGCAGGAGGCTCGCCTGATGTTAAGTGATACCGCCGCCCATGGATACTCAATTCCTGAGGGCGAGTACATTGCCGGCCTTTTAAGAGTCGGTATTTTATTAAAAAGTCGAATTGGTTCGGAATTACTTCAGCATGCAGCTGATTCCACATGGTGGCGGGGGAACGGCGGACGTCGATGTGATACGGGCGGAATTTCGTATCATGCCTCAACGTCCAATGACGAAACTCAGCTGCAGGAATTAATCCGAACAACTTCTCTGAACACTCTCCAAAATCATTCTTGAGGTACAAATAAAAATAATAAACGGGAACCATATTTATCTCCCAACACAAATAGCCTACACTTTCGTATTTAAATAAGTTATAAAAAAAATCTCAACATCAAAACTAATAATAATAAATTTTCTACATACAAAAGTAAAAACTATCCATTAAATAAATTACGTACGTGTGTATTGTTAAATACTTTCGATTTTCGATTCGAATAAGGTATGTCAAACGTGTCGAATTCGTGGCTCATGCGTTGAATACAATTAGTGGAAATCTTACTTTTAGTTTCGATAGCTTTCTTCACGTCCACGCACGTTAATTGTTAAATCAAATTGTGTCCACATAAATTACATAATACGGGGCATATAAAGTAAACCTAAAACTATTAAACCTTTTAACGCTCGGCTGTGAAAAGGGTATTTCAAAAAGCTCTCTAAAACTGTTATTTGATATCCAAATAAATAAAACTATTTCTCTCTTCCCTATCATAAGAATAAATCAAATAAAGAATATATCATTAAGAAGAATAACAAAGGTAGCAAAGAAATGAGCGGGGCTGGAGGAAAATGGAGCAACAAAGTATTAAACAGGTGCCCAAGGTAATATAAAAGCAAAAGAGGAAGACAATTTAAAAGGTGGATAGACCAGATTAAGGAAACAACATGTGGCACATGGCAGAGAGTGGCAAAGAACAGACAGAAATGGCGGGAATTGGAGGATGCCTTTGCCAAAAAAGGGACACACAGATATCTAGGAATGAATGATACGCTAGAAATATAAATGTTAAGCCTCGAAATAAAAGGCTTTTATTATTATTAATTAATCGATATAAACTACTTTATTTCTGAAATTACGATTCAAGATATTGTAGAATGTATGCAAGACAAGGCAAAAGAAACCGAGGACGACCTTTGATGCAATGGGAAGACGAACTTACAAAAGAAACAGCAAGCAACCTCTATGGAGAAGGACAGCCCAGGAGAGACTACAGTAGAAATCTGGAGGCCTATGTCGAGCAAACACCGAGGAAGATTCGAGTAAAATAATTGTAATATAAATTATGTAAATTTATAAGACCGTTCATTAGGTGCAAAAACTGCGTTGTTTGAAATTACGGCTTCATTCATTCAATAACGAAAATCTTTAGTTTACCCAAACCAATAAAACACAATTTAAAAAAAAACAATACAATTCAACATAAATTTCACGTATCTGGACACAACGCAATATGAGTGAAATAGCTAAAAGTGATAAAGTCCTTGTTAAACGCAATTCAATTTCACCAAACAAATACGTGAGGGCGTCGTGTTAAATATTTATCGTGCATTACACAAGCACTTCGAATATATTAGCTTATTCAACACTTATATAAGAGTATCGGTAGGCTTTTTATCATCGGCCAAAGGTCGTTGACCTTCCATTATTCAACTATCGAAAGTCGAGTTAATACATGATTTTTTGCGTACAAGGTATTTTTTTAATTTTAGAGCCAAAGTTGTTAGTTTGATAGTACAAATTTTCATTATGCTATCCGAATGCAAATGTCACGATAAAAAATTTATCATTTAAATAATTGAAATCGACCTCAAAGCGTTTTTCGTAAAAGTGTTTAGTTGATTTTTTTTACTACTTTAAACATGAAAAATAATGGTGTAAATAAAAATCCGGTATCGTTTTATGGTGAAGAAATCGCTAATTGAATAGTGCAGTTTACGATAGAAATTATCAGAGATCAACGCATCCGCTACTGTGTTAATCGCTTGCGTTTAATTAAGTGATAATCTCATTATCGCTACAGTGCTTTATAGTTTGATAAAGTTTTAATATGGAACAACGGACGACACACTTACTTCAATTAAAACTAGAGCAACCATATTTTTTTATCAATAATTTTCCAAAAGATCGTTTGGGACATTTATATTTTTTTTAAGAACAGGGTATTACGTAAGCAGATTTACTGCAATTTATCCCCCATCTTGTCTGCAAAAGTAAGCAAAGCTCTCAAAAATAATAGTACATAAACGTATTAATTTTTTGTGGAAATCCTGGAAAATGCTTTTCGTTTTTAAGCATAGACAATGTGTGGGTAATATGTGTAAAAAAGTAAATTATTACTGTTGAAGTAATCATCAAATAAGAAAATCAAAGATTTAATTTATGATATTTGTGTTTATAAAACAGTTGAAACATACAATATCTGTATTAATTTTAATATAAAAAAATCACGCGTGAAATCTAATCATATTAACTAAATTGCTCTGAAGTCTGAACCATTTCCTGAAGGATTTTTGGAATTTTTCAGGTTTATCTCACGAGTGCTTTAGTTAGAACGGTGTAAATATGTCGTAAATGAGAATAAAAAGTCTGATATTAAGATATTTTTCCTTAGATTCTCATGATAATGTCACCTGGTTTACTTACAACGCTATCTCTATGTATTAAGATAGTGCTATTGATAGGCGATAAGGACTTAGGAATTCTAGCATTATTTTCAGTTGCCCTACTCAACATTCCATATAACTCCGGGCCTGAGCCATTCTGGGGTGGGAAAGCTCATCGTTCAAACGGCCCTTTAGAGGTCTTTGAGTGCAGTAAGAAAAATTTTACTTATATTTTCCTTTTACAATGACATCGTTCATAGGAACATTTCATACTGGAGCTCCGTTTAATCTATAATTATTAACACAAGATAAAGGCAACAAATCTTAATGGGCCGTTATTATGGCCTATTTGCTGTCATTATTTTTTCAAGAAACCTTCGCCCGTATGCGACAAGATATTCACAATTGTTCCATGTGCCTCGTACGACGTTATCTGCGTAATTCGCCAATGCTTTGGGTTTTAGCTAACTATATAAGCTACTAATAATATATATATAACACAAATTATGAAGATGTGGACATTTTCCAACTTGCCAAAGAGGATGTGAGGAAATATTTGGGAAGCGAAAGGACTTTGACTCTATTTATTAGAAGTAACAATTTTTTTTTTCTGTAAAATTTAAGTTGTTCTTAGTTTAATGGCAGTTATCTTTTGTAATGTACTTAATTGACTTATGTTTTCTGCTTCGTATATTTTGTTTAACAATGTAATCTGTTTTGGCTTTCTACATTTACAAATGGATATGTGTAGCTGTAAGATTACTTATAAATAATATTATTTCAAGTTTACCTTAACGCTCAAGACACAACTGGTAACAATGACTTAGTTCGTTCCTACGTCAGAAGGTAGACAATTCAGAGGGTAGACGTGAAGCATATAAATTAGCTGGCCTTGACATTTCTAAAAACACACGGCACGAACAGCTTATGTAAGCATCAGTGACACGGCATAATATTAGATTTCAGTTTTCAGATAGTAGTATAAAAATTGAGGAATTTTATTGGAGTTTTATTCTATTTAACTTTACAAAACAATCTAAGATTATAGTTTTTGAATATATATCAAATGCAGCAGAAAAGCCTGCGGATGGTTGCTCAAATTATTTATCGTCGTTTAGAACAACATACAGGTTATATTGACCAAAATCAAAGGACCGGGCTGAATTCTATTGTATTAGGTACTTAATAATAATGTCATCAGCTATTACGACTATCGGATTTTATGATCAAATGTGAGTAGTCCCTTCGATGTTGTTATAACAGATTTTGACTGTATTATTTTTTCCCGCAGGAGTTGACATCTCCACATGCTACGATCCTGACATACTAGCTTCATCCACTTTCAGGACATTCACCATGCATGTTCGTCGGTTATGGGTGCTTTTAACTTGTCCCTTCTCTAGTATCTCCTGGATTTGGTCCAGGTTTGTTCAACAAGGCCTGCCTAACCTGACACCATCCACGCTTACCTTGTATATCCTACTTGTTAACTGCTTCTCATTCTTCCATTCTACATGGCCAAACCATTTAGGCATACCCTTTCGTATCCTCATCATTACGTCCTCTATTAACCCACACGCGTATCTCACTATTACTTATCCTATCACGCAATGTTACACCACACAAACTTCTTAACGTTCTCATTTTCACGGCATTTATTCTACTTTCATTCTTTCTCTGCCACACCTCAAAATAATAGGTGTTCAAAATTGGACGCAAAGAGGATAAATTGTGATGCTGAAAATACCTCATCTAAGGCCCATATATGTTTGTAGTGTGGACTCAATTTCCGCACTTAGACGGTCATGTGGTCTGTTGTGTCGAAGTCCTGGCTTATTAAGCCAGCCTAGTTCCTTCAAGCAGCTCAGAACTTTCCTAGGCACGCAGGCTTCACGGAGCGACCTCACTGCTTCGAGGATTTCTATTCGTTGGGAAGCCACAGCCACGCATTCCAGGACTACGTCACCGAAGCTAAGCCCATAAGGGACAGCCGGTCAGTCAATGACTTGGACAAATCAATGGTCCCAGTACAATCCCTTCAACCATTTATACATATAAAAAACTATCAGATATTGCTTTGTGAGTGCACATTCAACATTACAGTATTAGAATTTATTTCCGGTACAGAAAGCTCCATACAACAATACTTTATTTGCATTATAAAACGCCTATCCCTTTCACTTTCATATTAATTATCTGTTTTTATGTTCTTATCTTAGTAACAATTCTCATCAATATCTACGTAATATGTTTAGATTATCATACGTAACACATACCATATAGGAATTAAGTGAGGTTAAGTTGGTAAACATTGTTCACCTGACCTGCGAGTTTCTCCACTTGTGACTAACTTCCGAGCTATAAAATTTCCATCTACTTGTTTTCAATACTTCTTTAGGTATAAAGCAATTGTGAAAGTGGTCTATACCATAAATCTTTAAACTTCGGTCGGAGAAGGCATTCGTTTCATACTCAAACTCAAAATAACTTTATTTATATAGGGAAACATGTACACTTATGAACGTCAACGGAAAATATTTACGTTTAGTACCAGTTCGCAAGTCAAGGGCGTAGAGCGGGCAAAAGAACTGGCAAGAAACTCTTCGACAGTCTTTTAATCGCCAAGTTTTGAGTCATACAAATTGTTTGAACTGGAGCAAATCAATCCCAAGGATGAGGATCATTAAAATAATCGTCAAATTTATAAAAAGCCTTATTGATTAATTGAGGTTTAACGAGTTTTGAATTTATTCAGTGATAATTCTTTAATTTCACTTGGGAGTTTGTTTTAAAAACGAATACAATTTCCATATAAGGAGCGGTTTATCTACTGGAGCCTGGTACGCTTAGATTAGTTCTCTTTAGAGTATTATACTGAACTACTTGAGTACCTACATAATAATGTATAATAAAAAATAAAATTGCGTTTATTCGTTATAACAATGAATTTCAATGAGTAAGATTTGGGAACCCTTTTAAGTAAAAAATACCTGTGTCGGTCCCAGATCTTCCATAACAAACTTATTTATTTTTTTAGAATGGATTAATAGTAGGTAGTACACAAAGCGTTATATCTCATATGTATATTATGTTGCAAAATTAATTCCAATAAAACCTAAAATAAATGAAGTTTGCAATAGCAAATTATATGTCAGAGATTAGGTTATAATATAACACGCTGTTATTTGTTTTACTACAATGGCAACACCACGCAATATCATAGACATCTTACAGGTTGTAAAATGTCAATGTGTCAATTATTGTCAAAGTGCGTAGAATCGGTCGTGAAGTGCTAGAGTTGCTTTCCGATCGGCGCCTGCGCCCTGCGCCGGACGTGCGCACTGACTGTGTTTAAATATTAAGTAATAATATCGGACGACGGTAGTGACACCAATTTTGTAATTATTAATCGCGTTGAATCTGCGACATATATATGACTAGAACTTGGTCGGTACAGTACAGTACAGTACTGTACTCAAGTATAGTAACACGTTTCGTGACCACCTTGTGTCTCTTTAGTTACTATTTTGTGGTGTAAGTCGAAAATAATATTAACAATAACGCGTAATTCAATCCCCGCCCCGCATCGTAACGTTTTACAAAAGGACCCCCCCTCCCAAAACGCGTTACGTAATATTTGAACACTCCCTTACACAAATTTCTGATCAATGATAATAATTTAATATAGCAGAAGGTACAAACCTTTTTCAATAAGGTCATTCCATTTCTTCGCCCAGCCCCGAAGGCTTTTGGCGTATGTCTTCTCTATTTCAGCTCGCTCCTGCACCAGGCCTTGCAGTTCACTGCAGAGCCGGTGTCCATCATCCACTCGCTTGGTGGTCCGTTTGTAGTTACCAGGCTCCCAGAACGAGTCGGAGGTGACTGATAGCATCGCTTGTTCGTCGCTGTGGTGCGACATGGCGGTGCGACACTCACACACCGCCCCTCTGTAACAATAAATAACACATATGTAACACTGCTGTATCATTATAAACTTTAGATGGTACTGTAGTACAAAACGTTGGTAAGAATTTTTTTCTCGACATTATTACTTGAATTATACGGAAATTGTATCTTATGCTACTGTTTATTATTGTAATCTGATTAATTTTAAGTTTTTGTGTAAAAGTCAAAGTCAAAATCATTTATTCGTATAGGTAACACAATATAAACTTATAAATGTCAAAAAAAAGAAATACATATTAAATGCTTCTAATTTTACATTTACTGCCAGTTTTCAAATCAAGGGCGTAGAACGAAAGAGAATAACTGGCAATAAACTCTCTACCACTCTTTTAACGCCAAGTTTTTTGTTTTACACAATGTTTGTAAGGGGGTTTTACACAATGTTTGTTTGATAAGGGGGGTAATCGAAATCAGCTGAATATAACACAACATGGAAATTGAGACTGAAGCTAAACAAATTGGAACCCAATATTAAATCTCTGTACAGCAATCGCAAGGATCTCACTAAAGTAATATATAAAATTAATATTAAAATGATTGGGAATTTCAATTCCAATTTTTCATTACCTTTATAAATTTACTGGTGATTATAAAATTGTATCTTTCGCCTTATTCTACGTTTGTAAAAAAAACGACACTAACAATAGAAAAAAGTATTTAATAAATAGAACGTTTTATTATGACGCATTATCTAGTTAAATAAAGTTTAAGATACATATCACAAAAATGATTTCTACACAATTAAAGAAATGGAAATTTTTTATTTTTAAATATTGACTATGCTAACTTCAGGGTTTTTTGTGACGGCGTGCGCGCGCATCGAAAAACTTTCCTCTTGCCATTTTTCCCTAACGCGCCAAAAGAAGTTATAATTTAAAAAACAAATGAACACGACACATACAAAATATAAGGCCCAGACCTTTTTTGAATGTTCTTAATATACGATACTACTTGTATAAGAAGGGAACGTACAGGGACACAAACGGTTCAGTAACAGCAACTTGTCCGGTTCAAAATCGTCCTTGTTTTTTACAACTTCCCTTTAATCCTTAGTTTTTAGTCCTATCCCTTAAAATTTAGTTAATCCTAAATTGACAACCATTCCGGGTGCAACGATGAAACCGACCTACAGTTCAAGCCTCCATCAATCACGTAGAAAATGCAAGATGTGTCTCGGAAAATCTTATTGCTGACCTCGAGAAGGCCGAGGTCGATATAGACAATAGACAAAGCAACTACTAATATTGTGTTGTTTTTTTAAATAAATAAAAAATATCAGTTGCGCTACAACCTTTTTAGGTCTGGGCCTCAGATTTCTGTATCTGTTTCATGATCATTTGTTAATCTAATCAGTGCCTAACACACGCCGTCGACTTTTTGGGTCTAAGGCAAGCCGGTTTCCTCACGATGTTTTCCTTCTCCGTTCGAGCGAACGTTAAATGCACACATAGACAGAAAGTCCATTGGTGCAAAGCTGGGGTTCGCACCTACGACCTCAGGGATGAGAATCGCACGCTCGAAGTGGCAAAAGCGAAATATAAATTTTGGTATCTTTCATGTCCAAATAAGTAATTGATATTGTGTTCTGGTTTCGCCAGGTTTTGACCAACCCGTACTTCTGATATTAATATGTTTATTAAGTCAAATATTAAGGCAACGATTTCTGTTCTTACACAAAAATATTTTATTTATTTATAAGTTATCTTACAGCTACCTACACATATCCATTTTATAAAAGAAATAAAGAAAGCCAAAACACATTACATGCACAAAATATACGAAACAGAAAACATAAGTTAAGGACACAAATATTTAAAAAAAAAGAAGTTATCATTGCACAACGACAACTTAATATTTCAAAGAAAATAAATTAATGCTGATAAATGGAGAAAGTCTTACCGCTTCTAAAAATATTTCCTCACGCCTCTTTTGTAAGGTAGAAAATGTCCACATCTTCATAGTGTTATAGTTAGCAAAATCCCGAAACAATGCCGAAACACGCAGATAATTCGTGTTCATACGAGGCAGGAACAATTGTGAATACTTATCTAATCATTTATATTTGACATGATTTCTACATATTTAAAAATTCTATAGTCTTCTATTATCTTAGTTACATTAGATATTGAATAGCACATACTGCACTGCGACATATTAATATGTGAGCGTGTATTGTTCAAATGACGTAAATACGGACCGTAGTCTTACAAAAGAAATATCCATTCTTAATAATAAAAACGCTTTATATTCATGAAATAAAATTTAATTGCTATACGCTAGCAGCGAAGCGTAGAATTTTCGCTATTTCATATAAAGACGTGATGTTTTATTTAGAAGATGTAGTGTATTTTATATTGTTCCTTTATAGAGATCACACAGCAGAGTCAAAATAGATAGAAAGCTCGCCCATGGGTATGAATGTCATAATGTAATAAACAAAATTATGCCATTGATACAACCGTATAGTAAAAAAAGGAGAAGCAAGAAATCATGGCTTCGAGCGGCGAGAAGAAAACGTAATAAAAAAGAAAAGACAGCTGGTATTAAAAAAAGGGACTACTACCCGTACTACTAGGGACTAGGGTTGTCTGAAAGAGATTGCTTGTTAGTGATAAGGCCGATCGTGGCCACCAAGTTAATTACCTGATTTTATATAATAACTAGCTGACCCGGGAAACGTTGTTTTGCCATGTATAATATATCTAGGAAACATTTTTTTAGTTGAAAAAAAATAACTATCTTCTATAATAAAAAAGGGGTTGATCGTAGAGGGGTGACAATTAGGGGTTGTATGTATTTTGGTATGTTATATCATAAAACAAAATTTTATCGAAAAAATAAAATATGTTTTTTTTAAATTATAAATGCAACAACGAGTTAACAATTAAAAACATTACTCCTATAAAAAATATTTGCTCCATCAACTCTTGTAACGACCACATAACGAAACATAAGTCACGTTCGCAATGATACGATTAAAATTCCTCAAAACAGCGCACAGCGTCTTAATTACTCCAGTGCAAACATCTCAAAGATCACATTTAATCACATAATGAGCCGACATCACCTGCCTTGATATGCGATTGCATCACCCATTAGATCATAACGAATAGCTTTGTATCATCTGAGTACACCTTTGTGATACAATCTTATTTATTTACAAAAGCTTGCCAACGGCACACTGATACATTGGTACTTAAGAAAAATAAAATACAAGATTGAATGTAACAATTTATAGGCAAACATAACAAACACGAAAAAAACATTGTTTCAAAAATTTTAAAGACTGTAGGAAAATCCATTCAAAGTGTGAGGGGAGCAACTGGATATCCAGACCTCGTTTATCAGAATGCTCGATGTTGGTCAATTTTGGTCAAACGCGTTCTTCTAAGAGGACGCCCAGAGTATCTAGAGGGTTCACGAAATTTAAAATAAGTAAAAGGTTGGGGCAATCAACCTGATTATTAAATATCTTAAAACTCAAACGATATCGTATTACAGTGGAATCTCGATACGATTCTCCAATGACAACTTCTTATAGTGTTCTAGCCTGGTTTCATATGACGGCAAATCTTTTTTCGAGATACCTTAATCTTTACAAACCCTTTGTTAGAAATGTGTAAGTTTTACTGAAAAAGAAGTTGTGATTTATTTTTAGTTACAACTTACCCCAATGTGTGCATCAAATGATGCATTTTACTTCGGCAACGTCTTCCGCGTTTCTTGCATAGTTTAGCCATATTCACATAAACACTATTTCAATTATGATAAACCAGACGATGAACTAAATACACTATATCTGTATTCGGGCATGTGTAAAGAATCTCGGATGAACAAATATGAATTATTCACAGCATTTTTTGTTTAGTCTACGTAAATGAAAATTCTGTATGTGCACGTTAGTAATGTACGTGGATTTATTAAACATAGTTGATCTTATTGCTTGATAAAACTATGCTATGTTTTTCCACAGATTAAAACAGTTTTTTTTATAGAACAGGGGCAAACGGGCAGGAGGCTCATCTGATGTTAAGTGATACCGCGAAACATGGTCACTTAATGCCAGAGGGCTCGCGAGTGTGTTTCCGGCCTTTTATGAATAGGTACGTTCTTTTCTTAAGGACGTTAAGTAAATTCAGGGGGCAGCTGGTTCCACATAGTAGCGGAGTGGGGCAAAAACTGTCTTGAAAAGTTGAGCTTTTAAGAATATATATAAATAAATATATGATATACTATAAATTAGCGTCTGAGAATTTAGTACTTAAATTAAAAGCACCGCACGCGCAATGATATCAGCTAAATTTAATACGTACGTAAGATAATATTGATAGCAGGTAACCAGACGGGTTGCGTTACGGGTGCGCGCACGCATACCAACCGGTCGGCCTACGTAACATAAGTCAATGAAAGATGTTTCTTTAAACGGCGGAGAAATCGGTATTTATAAATGAAATGAGCGTGTTATTCCATTCGACGACGAACTTATTTAATTAATAATTCCAACTTTACGGTCTCAAATACTTCTAGAATGTGAGAGAGACTGATTGCCTTAAATTGCTTATAAATGTATTCGATCACAAAACTCGTCATACTGAGCTGTTTCATATGTATATCTAAGTAAAATCTATGCTCATAATAATATACTTACACATATAAATCTATATAAAGACTCGCCTCATTCCATATCATCTCCAAACGCGTCTTTTCAAAGGAGATACGCAAATCGAATGGATTTTTAAGATCACATTAAGACGCACTCACTTACACAAACTATTAGTTAATTGTTTTAAGTACATAACGTTTTAGTAGTAATTCTTCGTATAGTGTATCCGTTAGACTATATTTTTTAAACTACAAATTGTTAATATTATAATTAAAAATCTGTCGTTTGGCAATAAACTGTTAAATAAATAAATTCTGTCTCCGTTATTTAAATTAAAATTATTTTATCCG